GGGAGGGAGGTTTGCAGGGTTTGTTGAAAATGGAAGGGGGAGACCACGCCTGGAGCTGGAGGAAGCGCTGCCCGCAGCCTCCCCGCTGGGCCTCCCGCGGGAGGCTCGGGCCGGGCCAGCCGGGCAGGTGGGGCGCGAGGACGGCGGGGGGGATGCTGCCCAGGTGGGCCAAGTGTGCCCAGCCCGGCGGTCTGCTCGGCCAGTCATGCACACGCCGGTCACACAGAAGCAGGGCTTGCTTCATTTGCAAGGAATTTGGGGTTTGGGCCACACCCCTACAGTAAGGAGGCCTTCAGCGCCGTTATTTTCACGTTCAAATCATGAAAACGAAACGTTTGACAATCATATTGGTCTCTAACTTGACCCAGTTACGAGTGTCCTGGATAGCAGGTGTTTGTACCCACAGTCAATATTACGGTATTGGTTCCTTTTTGTGTACTAAGAAATAAACATGCTGGTTTACAAATTATCTTGAGTTTGGTTAGTATGAATTAACCTTCCAGTATTTGATCACCTTGATCAGACTTAGTTTCTGAACCTGTAACATTGAGGACAAGACCTGGGACCTAGGTATGAACATAATATAATTCTTTGGTTAACCCAAGGTATGTCTTAATATAGCGAGTAGCTTTATCTTTTGCTGTGACCAAGTTTGAGGAAACCATGCCCAATTTTGTTACCTCAGGCTATAACAGAATCTGATGAACTTCTTTTATGTGAGGGGCAGAGCCCCTTGAATAAAATGCCAAATCCAGGTTTGGGGGGGCCTGAAGCTGGACAAGAATACAAAAAATATTTTGTTCACAACTTTATAAAAACATTCAACAAGATAAACATTTTCAAGGCCCCTCTAAGCAAGAGGCCCTGAAGCTTAAATCCCACAGGGAACCAAAAGGTTAAAGACTCAAAATATTGGATTTGGTGACTAGGGAGCACTTGAGAAAACAACTTCAAAAAGATGGGAGTTTGAAAGCCAACTGTAAAGGAGACAGGGCGCTCAAGAATTACACATCCTGGGTAAAGTCACTTCCATGCCTGCTAAAGAGGAGGCAGACACATGCACATGCATGTTTCTTTTTAAACCGGGAAATCTTTGTAAGGAAAAAGAATGGAGTGTCTTTAAAAAGGTAAGAGAAAGGAATAATTAATGAAAAGCCAAGGACATAGTGAAGAGAAGGTAATCGAGTATGAAAAGGGCTCAGCCTTGAAGAGGTTTAGCGAAAAGGGGTTTAAAGAAAAACAGGGAAAAGTGTTGGTCAAACACATGAGCTGGCCTAGATCTTCTCAGTTAAAGAACTTGATTTTTGCAAAATAGCTCATGGTGAAATTAAGTCTTAAGGATTTGAAAGCAGAAACTCCTTGAAATAGATAGTTATGAGAGAAGTCATTTTGGTGTGAAAGGAATTCAAAATAGTAAACTGTGCCCACTTGAAACTGTTTTGTGGGACTTGGCATCCCCAAGGACAAGAACGGGGAAAATAGATGGTATGTTAGCTACCTCTTGGAGAATTTGTAACGCAGATTAAACAAGTTAAGAGAGGGAGGAAGATGAAGGAAACACTGCTGGAATGGCTTGCCGTGGGTTCCAGCTAGACAGGACAACAAATTATCACAGAAGTTAGCTAATAAATTGGAAATACGGAGGCACTGAGGGAGTGCAAGTCATCATAGGCATGAAGTAGTTTAATAGGATTGAAATAGGAAAGTTACTGTCAAAGAAGTCAATTTGTGACTAAGATCTTAGAAATGGTACTATCTTCATCAACTGGATTTAGTGCTGTATCTCTGAGGATTACTCAATAAAAGTTGGAACATCAGGAACAAAATTGGAACCTCCCCTTTGGATTTTGAAAAACAGTAGAAACATTATCATGCAGTTCTGTAGTTAAGACACGTTACCTCAGTAATGTCTATGAAGCTTCTGGTAAAGGTTTCTTAGCAGGTTTCTAAACTGTACCAAAACTCCTGCCTTAGAATGGCAGCGGAGTTCTCAGTAACTGAGGTTATTATTTCCCACCGAAAGCTGTGTCAAGTCTTCCTGGTGGGTGGCTGCCCAGGTTTTGCATGAAAGCTCTAAATGACTAAATAACCAAATAACAATATGATTCTCCCCCACTCCCACCCTGCTATAGTTTCCCAATTATCATTTCTGTGTGTTTGCTTAATAAAGTTGTAGCTAGGAAGAAAAAAAATCTTAGAAATGGCACAAAACGATGACCGGTTCTGAAGGGTGGAATGTTTGGCTGTTCCCTTGGGTAACTGAAGTTTAGTGAAAAATGTCATTGGAATTAAGTTTAAAGAAACTTGAGGTCACAGAATGAAAAGTCATGAGCTTTTCATGAAAAAGCGTAATATGAACTACCCAAGTGTGACAACAGAGAAAGAGGTTGAGACATAATCACTAAAGAAAGTGAAAATGTTCTAAAAATCTAAAGAATAACAGTGTGGGAGTACATGAGATTGGCAAAGAGAGAGAGCTTGCGAGATGATAAAGAATTAAAGATTAGAAGAGACTAAGGATCACATACCCCAGCAATTCCACTCCAAGATATATACTGAAGAAAAATGAAAAGTTACATTCCTACAAAAATGTGTACATGAATGAGCATTGATATTCATAATAGACAAAAAGTGAAACTCAAATGCCCATCAACTGATGAACGGATCAACTTTGTTATAGCCATACAATGGAATACTGTTCAGCACAAAGGAATGAAGTACTGATACATGCTACAGCATGAACGAACCTTGAACACTATGCTAAGTGAAAGCAGCCAGACATAAAAAGTCACCTATTATATGAAAGTGTCCAGCACAGGCAAATCCATAGAAACAGAAAGTAGATTGATTAGTGGATACCAGGGACTGAGAGGTAGATGGGAATGAGGAGTGACTACTAATGGGTATGGGGTTTCTTTTTGGGGTGATGGAAATGTTCTGGAATTAGTGATGGTTACACAACTATTTTAGTAAATATACTAAAAGCCACTGAATTGCACTTTAAAGGGGTGAATTTAGGCTGGCCAGTGTGGCCCAGTGGCTGAATGTAGACCTATGAGCCAGGTCACAGGTTTGATTCCCAGTCAGGGCACATGCCTGGGTAGTAGGCTCAATCCCTGGTAGGGGACGTGCAGGAGGCAGCCGATTAATGACGCTCTCTCATTGATGTTTCTCTCTCTCCTCCCTTCCTCCCTCTGAAATAAAAATAAAATTCTTAAAAGGGGTTAATTTTTATGTATGTGAACTATATCTCAATAAAAAAATAGACTACAGGAGGATAAGAAATTTTCAGCCTCCCTAGAAATCTGCCTTTTTAAATAATTTATGTATTTTAGCTTAGAGTAGCCCAATTCTCTTCCTCACATTAGCAATCATCTGTTAAATGACTTTTGGCAACAATCATTTTCTACATATTTTGACATCCCCAACAACATGCTTGGGTGTTTTGTGCCAAATAATAATAATATTAAACCAAACCACCTCTCACTTAGGTCCCATGAGATACTGATTAGTCATGGGTTTTTGGCATTACTTCAGTTGAGTCACCAAGTGAATGGAAAGGGC